AAAAAAAAAAAAAAAAAGACAATATATTATAATCATATGACTTTTCATATGTTTTTATTGTTTTTTTTTCAACGGAGACCGTTGAATCTCCAATCTAATCTCACTTCATTGGACCCCACAAAGTGCTGACGTGGCTTACGAAATGACACGATGTGGCTGCTGACCATGAATGCCGTCACGCGCTCCGACACTCTAATCTCCTCCATCTTCCAATCGTGTAGTCTCTGCACATACTCCGGCACGTACACTATGTCCCACACCACAGCTACTCCGCCGGGTTTCAACACACGCGCTACCTCAGCCAACACGCGCATCCGCTCCGCTGCTGCTGCGGCTGATTTGGGTCCGAACTCTTTCCCAACTGTGTGCACGAACGCGGCCGACACCACCACGTCGAAGTAGTTGTCACTGAAGGGAAGTGTTCTCGGGTCACCAGGACGACACGTGACGTACTCCTGAACACCCTCGAGAGTAGCTGTCCGGAGCGTGCTGGTTGGGTTTGGAAATTGATTTGTTCCGTTCTGTGCAGGGTTGAGCCCGACAACCCGACCGGAAGAACCTGATTTCTTGAGCTGTAAGGCGACGGCGTTTAGGAGGATACCGCGGCCACAGCCGAGGTCAAGAGCGTACTTGACGGAGGACCAGTCGGGGATGGAGGAGACTATACGCTGGGACATGTCCCAGTGGAGGGAGACGGCCGAGTAGAAGAAGTTTGCAGCCGCGAAGAAGAGACAGACGGCGGAGAGAGCAGTGACTGATCCACTAAACCCCGCCGCAAAGCGAGCCAATCCTGGACCGGGGAGAAAGTGTTGAAAGAGATAGCAAACGGAGTCAAAGTAAAGGAGGAAGATGAGTGAAAGAATTGAAAAGGCTATAGCATGAATAAGGAGAAACAGTGGCGTTTGCCAATCATCTACTCCATAGATCGCATAGATCTGCGTCCAGTCTCTCCCTGTTTTTCCCATAATCTTGTCTGCAAATTGAACAGAAATAGATTATTTCAGCTCGCCAAAAACAAATAACAGCTTATATCAAAATCAGAGAATAATTTGGTGAATTTACAAAATGGCAGCTTTTTAGGGGGTTTTGATGATGAAATTGACAGATTCTTCGATCTTTGATTGTTGCAGTGAAGTACGCAGAGAAACACCGTATCCTGCAATGTGATCTGTATGTATATATAGATATAGATATAGATATAGATATATATCTCATGTTATTATTATAATAATAAATAATATTATTATTTATGTTAAGTTTGAACTTGAATAGTCAATCATGTAGTGATCTGAATTTGGAAGCGTACTTTCATTTTACTATTTTTACTCCTTCCGTTCATGAAGGTAATTTTTCTTTTTTCTTTTTTTTAATCCCAAATTATAGATTACTTTTGTTGTTGAGATTGTAATTAATTTCTTTATTTTATCAATATGTCCTTATTTAACGTGTCTCTTAGTAACAAATATGAATTATTCACATTTAAATCATTATTTAATATAATGGTATATTAAGAAAAATGTAAAAAAAAAAATTATTATTCCAAATATAACAGTTATATTTTCTTAATTTTGTAAAAATGGAAGAAAACTCATTTTCGTGGGATGGAGAGTATCATTTTCCAACAAATTAACAAGGACACTGAACACGACCTTATATGTCATGCTTATTACTCTATTTCGTCTAGATTTTATAGTCCACGTTTTTTACTTGTTACGTCTCAATCTTTGAGACATGTTAAGTAACAACTAGTTAAATAAGAAGCAAAGCAAGAGGTCAACACTCTACTTTGACATTGCCTCTTCCACGTGTCTACTAACACGATTATGTCATCTATTTAAATGCCTTGCTTAAAATGTTATTATTCGAGGAGAGACACCACCTTCGTGTTGCAGTACAACTTTAAGGTGAGTGACATCTAATGTAATGGATTACTAGCGTTGCCTCGGGCAAGTCACAGTTGCACAATACACTTGATTGATTAATGTGACAATTTTTGCAACAGGATAGCATGGTCAGAACTTTTCAATTCATGTTCAAACTAGGGAGGCCATAGACTTGAGACGACTATTAACTGACGCAATAGATAGTTTTGGATAGATATAATTGAGCTTGACTGGTGAATTGGTAGGATAAGGTCACGTGTCAAACACTGAATGAACTTCGACTCATCCTTTTTTTTTTTATAAATACTCACACCTAGTGACATCCAAATATGATCTTGAATTCTAATGCAAAATCTCAATAAAAATTTGATAATATTCAACCCAATGTCCCATTTTATGTTTAACGTGTCTTTTCCACAATCAATATATTCAACAGTCGTATGATACCGATGTCTAGGTGTACGGATAACACATACGTAAATGGGAGTGGAGCGAGATCTGTTGACAGTTGGATCATGTTGTATTCGAGGGTCAACATAATATAATTGAAGAATGAAATAGTCCATTTTGAATGTTGAGAATGAATCAAAAAATGGCAAATTAAATATTTTTATTAATTTATAAAAGTTTGGTTGTGTTTTGACTTCGTACCGACGAATACGTCCAAATTTTTGATAAGGGGAGACCTAGCACTTGAAGTAAGTTTGAGACAACTTTTTTATTATGTGCTCATGTTGAATATTGATTTCAACTTTGATATCAAAAAGAAAAAATCAAGAATTGATTTGCAATACTTATTCTATCCACCAAAATAAACATTAATTTGGTCGAATTGAATTTAAAAATGCATAGGTTAATAAGATTTATATTGAATATTGATTTCAACTTCGATGTCGGAAAGAAAAATTCAAGAATCGATTAGCAAATACTTATTCTAACAACCAAAATAAACATTAATTTGGTTGAATTTACTTTATTAGAAAAAAGTTAGACGACAAATTGCCCGCGTTACATTCCGCCAATCAAGGGGAATTTCAGTCCACGAGAAACCAAATACACGCTATAGCAAATGGTTTACCTTTTTTAAATATTTGTACGGATATTTTGAACAAGTCCATGTTCAAGGGACAAGTCTATCCTTCACATATATGGAAAAGTTGTGTATATTTTATTTTTATCACTAATAAAATTATTTAAATTCTTATTCAAACAAGATACGAAATAGTAATATAAAACGAACCTTGCTACAGGTACACGGGCGTTTACACGCCTGTGTACCCGACCCCAAGCCCCCCTCTCACATTGAGGGGGGCCCGCCATTATTTAATTCACCTCGGGGCCCCCCTCATTGTGAGGGGGGCAGTGGACCAGTGTACCTTCCCGGGTACAAATGGCTTTTCTCATATAAAATTGACTCGTAAATTGATTCGAAGAACGTAAAAAAATCTACATATTAGAAAAATATATTTTTCGTTATTCTGGTCGATCATTGTAGAGATGAGAGATAACAAATGATCAAACATTTTATTTAGGAATGGGATTTATTTTTTAATACGAATTATTCGCTTTAACATGTCGTTTGAAAGATTTTAATTTGTATAATTTTTTAATGACAATTGACTTTTTTTATTTTTTTATTTGGATTCTTGTGGGTTCTGCCAGGAAAAAAAAAAA